CGGAACCGGCCGTAGACAACCGTATGCAACAATATGACACTTCTTTTGGCTGTAATCCGGCACCGCGCAGTGGATATACTTCCAAAAATGGATTGTAGGATGCACAGTCCAACAACTCTTGTTTCAAGTCTGCAGGCCACACCCGAGGTGACCTCGTTACGTTGTCCAGGCGAAGGTAAAACCAGTTATTCTCTTCCTGCCTGAGCTCGGCACGCAGGGACGGAAGTTGCCTGACACCAATGGCATAATGAGGTACTTTGATCAGACTTTCCCACTCCATCGCGGAAGCAAATTTATAGTCCTTATGCCATGGGCATTTCCTTGCCAAGATGGCTCTATCCCATTCTGCCTCGGATCACGCATCGATAGGCTTGTCAAAGAAGGGGAGGACGGTCATCCACGGGTCGTTTTCGGTATCGTCTCCCGAACCACGGAATCCACATGCATAAGGGTGAATGGGACATGCATAATCATGTCGATGGTCCATGACTCCTGTCGCACTCCCTACACAAGACATGAAATGCAAACATAAATGAAAATGAAATATCGAAATAGTAGAAAAATCGCCTTCATGATGAACTTAACTTCGGAAATTGTTGAACCATCACCAACCATCTTAAAAAATTAAACCGTAGACCGTGGACAAAATTCACTATGCAAAATCATTGCAAAAATAATATGCTCCATTCTGAATTCTCGTCCCTTCAAATAGTTATTTTACAAAAATCTCACTCCCCCACTCTATCAGGCGGACGTGCACTAATCGCTCTTGTCCCCTCCATCTACACTCCCTCCACCAGATGAACCTTCACCACATGGACCTTCACCAGATGGACTCAGATCCAGAAGTGCAGCTTCAGCATTCAGTCGAATACTGGAAGGAATGACAAGTCAAGTCGTGAATGGTCTTGTACCACGGACCGGTCTCTCCCAACCAAAAGCGATCGAGTCAGCATCCTACCATTGTGTCTGGTCAGTCATTTTCCATCGTTTTTCCCATGCGTTCTCATACAGTTGTTCGAGCGACTTTGCTCTCCCAGTCGGCACCCAATATTCCGCTAACACTTGATTATAATTTTGCGAATTACAATCAATAACCACACGAGAAAGAGCTTTGCCCACCCAGATTGGCACACCGCTAGACAGATCATCGTCGGAGGGGTGAAAGATAAGAAAAGTGTCCATGTCAACATGCACGAGGGGGTCGAAACTAGTCTTCGGGCGTTTTTTTCTTCGTCCAAGAAACAGGGGTTCCATGTCGTCGTCAATGTTGACACTGTGAGGAGAAGGTTGTTGATCGATTTCGAGCAGCCGCGGTCGTGGCCAAAAACTTTCCTGAGGTTGTGAGGACAACCCGTTGGCGATGATCTCATCGCCATGTTTGATAACCTCCTCCCAGTAACACAAAGTTTTTTCTCCCCTACTCACCTTCTGGTCATTGTAAGTGCACCACGTCGACCGCCTACTCTCCAGCAACTCGCGGAATCGAACAACACCATTTTTGCCATTCAAATAGTCATTTCGAGGAAGGGGTCGCACATGAGGCGGGTCAAATGGCCATGAAGGACCTGCATAGCTTTCATCGGGGKTTTGATTGAACCAAGAAATCAGACCTTCCCCGGGCAACCAGTTGTCATCATCGCAAAACTCCTTGTACAACATGCTCGGATTATCTCCAACCATCAAAAATTTTAGCAAGTGCGGTTTAGAAATATCGGTAATGTCTGACGCAACGTACAGGTCCACTATACTAATCCAATCTTCCATCGTATCGAGGAAAATACATTTGGGAGACTTTTTGTGGTATTGCTCTATGAGCTCGAAGAACTCGTCCATAGTATAAGCGTCTACGTCTTTCAATTTCTTCGAGAAACCGCTGAAAGTAGCGTCAACGTCTGTATGGGTGTGTCCCACCAGCATGAGACCTATTTCTACCTCTTCGAAAACTCTGAACTTAACCAATGGTGCAGCCATCGCACATATGTACTTGTTCTTGTTTTCCCGCCAACAATTATCTGCTTGAATGCGCAAAGACCGTGGCAGTGGCGTCCCGCTCCCTTGAATTTCAACAAGGGTTCTCATAACACAAGTAGCGACCGTGTTCGAATCGTGTTTGAAATATGGAAACCACGTGTATACATATATACTAGGGTCTCTACCGTGTGCAATCACGCCTGTCAGATTAGTCTTCATCATCATCTCGCGCCTAAGCGCTTTCTAGTAGTTCGCTTGACCAATATGGGGGATAGTTGTTTTCTTCTGATCCATGCCGTCAATGATGAGACACAAACGCTCGTTCGGACGAACCATAGAATCAGTTTTCGCTCGACTATAGCCCAATCTGTGTTCAACTTGCCTCCTTTGGTGTGCTTTCATATCGTCTCGAACATGTTCTCGATCTCGAGGAAGAGCAGCATATTGTATACGTTCCTTCAGTTCATGACAGACGGCGCACTTCGTGAACGTGTTAGATTGCGCGAGGGAAATGTGGAAAAAGTGTCGCCGCCACAGTTTATAAAAGTTGGACTCAGACACGACATCGAGGCCAGCGACCAGAAAGTCTGATTTGATGGACTCATAAATTGATCTCTTCGTGAAAGCAGCCGGGAGACGAAGCTTCGGTCTGGAAACCCCACCTTGGTTAGCCACCTCATTCGGCATGCTATCTGCATGACACTCGATGAACGTTCTCATGCTGGCAAGCATGGAGACCGTTTTATCGGTTGACCGATATCTTCCCGTCAGGCCATGCTCGGAACGCACGTAACCATTGTCAAAACGCTTTTTGTAGCTGTAAAATGTATTACGCGAGACACCGAGTACATTGCAGTACGCCCTAACGCACATCGAACATTCCAACTCCAAAGGGCGAACACATTTCTGTCCACCCTCATTTACTGTGAAATCCTTAATACTTTTCATCCACCACTTAACTCGCTCTCCCGGACTCTTATTGTACAGTCCTTGTCTAACCTTTTGCACTTCCTCAGGTGACACATCGTAACAACATCGAGCCTTGCAACATTCCATGCCACGCACCATGAGCAGTCTTTTTTCGGACAGCATGTTTCTCGCTCTTTTGTACAGTTCTTTCCTCCTAGCGTTCCTATTAGCCATGCTATACCTTCGTGTTTCGCCTGGCAGAGGTGCGGGCAAAATCTGCAGTATCGCCCTTCTCTCTGCATCACCTCTCCCAGACGCTTCCGACCCAGACTGACTCTCAATTGGAATCGCATCATCACTTTGCACTTGCGTTGGACTCGCCCGTGCTATGGAAAGTTCCTCTGAAGAATAGTCGGTGGCAACCAACTTCGTACTACTAGAGCTAGCGCGAAGCAAAGGTCCACTGGAAGAGGACTGTTGTCCAGACGAGTAATCAGTGGTCACCAACCGCTCACTCTCGTCATCAGATGATGCATAAGAAACACCCATTGGCACGCAGTTGTTGTGCGCAGAAGTTGTGGGGTGCACCTCGCGAGGAATGTGGAACTCGATCCGAGAGGTAGACGGTTCTTTGCCCGCGGATGTTTTTGCCAAATCTATAGGCAGTTGGATGCAACCTCCAAAGCTCTCACGAAAAGCGAGACTCTGTTTTTTGGGGAAAGCTGTAGCGGACTGTTGGAACGACGAACTGTCTGAAGAGGTCGTCGGGGCCAATTCCAGGTGTTGTAGTTGGTAATGCATGTCAACGGCTTGTTCAGTTTCCATAGCCTGGTTCATGCGGTCGTTCGCTGAGTCGTCTTTGGCGCTGTCATGTAACCGTCGGTGCAGCGGATGCGATTCCCGTCAGCGTAATCAATTAATCTCTCTTGTGCGGATTGAACGGGTCATTCGAATTCGTGTTCACACCCTGCAAAACAGTGGAGCAAACTGTAAGCACGATTACTAAAGAAGTAAGGGCTAACCTCCCCCCCCCCACAGGGCGAGCTCGTCTGAAGGCGATCACAACCCCTGCAGCCAAATTGCCGCACATGGGGTGTCACAGACGATTTCACAATCCGCGACATGCGAAGTGCGCTGACATCCGAACTCGGCAAAGATCGAAGTCCTTTGAATGCCTGAAATGCATGTGCCGAAGGGACGCCGAATTTTTCTCACATCGACTTCGGCGCTAAGAATTGCCCCAATAGAAAACGGAGACACCCTTCCCCCTTTTGCTTTTTATACTTTTGTAGTTGGACGTTGAAGTCTGTAGCAGCTGTCAAAGTCAAACCCCTTGACCTTTTTAAAGGCCTCCGCAGATGGAACTCAGCTGCTACAAAGGGCCTTGGCCCCCCTACCCGTCGCTCCCGCAGGTAGTTGAAGAGGGTAGGTACCGCAACCGTCTTGGCGGTTGTTTAGCGTCGAGACGCAAGTCCCTCAAGGCGCGTGTCAGCCGACACTTGAGTGTCGAATGAGACCCTCGACAACGCCGAGGGCCACGCGAGTATGGATAACATATAACATGCCATCGCTTCGATAGTTTGCGAACTCATGCATGACCAGTGTTTATGAGGAAGCCTGTAATGCGGCCCACATTAATAGATGTCTACCTCGCGCTGCCTGCATGTGGTCGGTGATATTTGGTTATAGGTCGGACACTCCACGGGCCAGGCGTGAATCTTTGTTGTTAATTTGTCGACACATTTTTGTTTGTATGTTGCGCCCAGTAGGACGTGTCCTATCAGGAGTTAGACGTGCACAATGGACGGTCGAACTGTCGCGTACCACAGAAGTCCGCCGGGATCCAAACTTCGCAGAAATGGAATCGACGGCTAACCGGTTATTATCGGGTCACTGTGAACTGACTGTCGGCCAGTCGTCATAATGAATGCAAGGCTATGAGAGGCAGGAGACAAAAGAGAACATGGCTCAATGACCCTCAGCCGACCCCTGCAAACCCCGAGTAACTGCACGTCGATTTGAAGGTTGTGTGCTGGCACTCAAAGCCTTTGCAGCCCGCGCAGCTTCGATACCGAAGCGCCTTCGCAATGTCGACACCCGACTGCGCGAACCGCAAAGCACGCCGTGCCAGAAGCATGACAGTGACTAAACCACATTTATCGCGATGATTGTTTTTATTGGAGGGCAACGAAGATCGACGGCATACCGGAAATGGACTCGGCCACTAACACCGTCATCAACACCAATAAACCCCTTTTAGGGCAATTCACAAGGCGAGCACTTCTGCGCACTACCAGGCCGCCGGCATTGAAGACGGATGGGGAAGTCGAAGCTGTTGAAAATAACGGTCAGATTTACGCGGAGCCTCAAAGTTCGCCCGGATCCGATATTTGGCGGGCGTTGGAGTAGCCAGGAACCTGTTTTCGCGCGGCCGGTGCCAGTGGAAGGGAGCGCCAGCGGGTGCATACAAGGAACACTATGTCTGGGCGCACAGAAGGAAGGCTCTGCCGCTCTCAAGTTTTCATTGTACAATAGCACACGCAGAACAAAGGGTAATGGTGGATGCACCACCACACAATTCGGCGCAGCGCGACCCCAAACTGACCCCTATAAACACCGATTCTCACCATTGTCTAATCAGATGTACTAGCACAAGAGGTTGTCGAACTCGGACATGTACACTGCGCAGACACGAAAAATTTAGAAATGGATGAAAGATCCCCCCTGCAACCCCTCCAAACCCTGATTCGGCCAGTTGACAAGGTAACCCCCGATTCGCGCATCGGGAACGTCGACGTGCGACAGCGCGAACCGGACTGCCCGCAGAAACACGAGCATGTCTGCGACAAGACTCCGCGCACCACGACGGTGAAAACCCTTGGGGGGTTTCGAAGATCGATGGCACACCGATAACGGACACAGCCGTTGTCACCGTCGGCAACCCCCATAAACCCTTTCAAGGGCATTTCAGAAGGCGAGCAATTTTCCGCACCCACAATCCTCTTGCAATCAAGTCACACTCGAAGCTCCAGGCGTCATGCGAAGGACGGTTAGATTTGCACAGATCCTCAAAGCCCTCTAGGATCCGAACTTGGGGGACTCGCTTGCAGCGAGTAACATGTTTTCGCGCGGCTGTAGGTATTGGAACGGGTGGTTGGCGTTTGCACAGAAGCAGGCGACGCTTGGGCGCACCACATTTCGGAGAGGCTCATTGCCGCCCGCAACCGACCCCCACAAACCCCGATTACCTGTGCCCTCACTGCAGATTTCTGTGGCAAGAAATTTGTTCGAACCAACACAGGAATCCGGCCGCTTGCAAGTCCGGAGTGCGACAAACGCCGAGGTCTGCGTAATGCGAGCAATTTTGCGCACCCATAGGCCTCTGATAATCAGATCACACTCGATAGTCGAGGCCGTCGTAACGGGCGGTTAAATTTCTCGCGGGACCTCAAAGTCCGTCGGAATCCGAACTTGGCGGTTGCTGGACTGGCGAGGAACTAGTTTGTGCGGGGGATGTCGGATGTTTCGAGGATGGGTGTTAAAGTGCACAGAAGGAACGCTATGCGTGTCTGCATGGTCAGGGAGGCCCTGCTGCTTCTCACAAGTGTCTGTTCGACGAGAGCACGCACAACAGAAATGGTAGGTGCACCACGTCAGAAATCGGCGCAGCGCGGCCCCCAATAGACCCCCATAGACGCCGATTCTCCCCACCGACAAAGCGAGCTTTTGCGCCGATTCAGTCAGAAATGTTCTGATCCGTGATGACAATGACTGGACCCACCAAAAACAAAATACCATGCCTGGTGGCCCCCCCTGCAACCCCATCTAACGACGATTCGTACAGTCGACAAGGCGAGGCCCAACTCACTCGTTGCCAACGTCGACATATGATAGTGGGAACCGCCATGCGGGCGGAGACACTGGAATGTCGGCGGCCAGATTGCATGCATGTCGATGACGACACCACCGTCGGCAACCCCCTTAAACCCCAATGAGGCAATTCGACAGGGTGGCACTTTTGCGCACCCAAAGGTCTCTGGCGACCACAACACATGCGAAAGGCCAGGCCGTCGGAAATGGCCGGTTAGATTTAAGTCGAACCTCGAAGTCCGGTGAGATCCAAACTTGGTGGTCGCCGGAATAGAGAGGAATGGGTTTCTTCGCGGCAAGTCGCATATTGGACGGGCTGATTAGCGGGAAACGAGACGATCCACATCTGAGCTTCAGTGGACATAACCAAAACCCGTCGTTAAGCACCCTTAAACAGCCCCTACGACCCCCAATTAGTCCCGCAGACAAGGCGAGCTCGCACTCGGGCAATGGCAGGTTTCACAACCAGGTTCATGGGGGTCAATGAAATTCCACAAGATCCGAACTTGCCCTCGGTTCCACTGAGGGACCACGAACGGGTGCCGACCACGAAGTCCGCCCGGATCCGAACTTGACATCTGTTGCTGCGTGTCAACCGGGAGCATGACACACTTTGTTTTTGCTCGGGTCCCAGTGATAGGATTGTTTTTTTGCGGGAACGCCACCCAAAGAACAATCATGTACCCAGGACTCCGTAAAGATCCATGCAAACCGTAAGCGCGTGATTTCAGCGATGCGGTCGAAACAACAATAATCATGCGAGCAGCTCGCGACTTCGCATGCTTCAGATCGCAAGTTCGTCGGGATCCGAACTTCGCGTTGTCGCCCTCGCACGGTTACAACTGGCAGGGCGTTCTGAACTATCGACCCCACGCCGTAAAGCTGGAAACTTTCTCGCAAAAGCTAGTCATCAGGGCACCCGGGAACGGCATTGTGACTACGAACGCGAAACCAACAACCGCCAAAAAAAAAACGTTGAGTCGCGTGTGAAAACCTGGCGAAAATGGAACTTCGGATGCCGGCGAACTACAACAATCATGCGCTGTTTTCTCACAGGCGCGTGCTCTCCCAACAGCCGCGCGACGGCCACACAATGCCACTTTCGTGAGAGCACTGCGCATGATTGCTGTAGTTCACCGGTATCCGAACTTCCCATCTCGCCAGGCAACCACACGCGACTCGCCTTTTTATGTTTGGCGGTTGTTGGTTTCGCGCTTGCAGTCACAATGGCGACCCCCCGTTCCCCGATGAATAAGACGTTTCCCGGAGGCGGCCGGGTTGTTTATTATTGAACGAGGCCATGTTTTCGTGTTGAGGTTTTCGTCACGAAACATGAGGCGCTCACGTCGAAGAAACAGCATCGTCATTGCAGCGAGCGGTGTTGTCGTTCTCCATCGTGTGCACGCAACGTGTGCATTCTTCGTCTAGGAGCCCGCGGATGTTGCGCGCACAGTACTGGCATTTGTCGTACGCAATGTGCTGTCGCGTCCCTCACGACCTGCGCCAGAGCGCGCGCTCAACATCCGTGGCCTCTATGGTGGATCATGTGCACGTTGTGTGCGCAGGATGGAGACGACACCAACTCTCCCGGGATTAACGTCATAGTCTCTACGGGGAGGGAGGCACAAGTGTTGTGATGAGAACATGAACACGAAACGATGATCCCATCCTGTTGATGAACACCATCCCTCTCACTGCACGCCACGTGGACGGTGGACATCCTTCGCACGGTGACCACCGTGCGATGCTTAATACCAACCCTGGTAGCGCGCAGCCAATGTGGCGCCCGCTTGTCTTTCACCACACTCGCCGCGACTACTGTCTGTCCTACAAGGGATTCGAACCATCAGTCGTGGATTTGCAGTCCAATGCATCTCCTTTGTGTTAACCAACCTCTGAACTGTTTGATGAGAAAAGCAAACGTGCGAGGAACGTTTCGCGACGGGATCTCGTGTTCTGCTGGAAAAAGGCGATTTCATGTTTGCCTCAACCACGCGGGAGTGTTTCGCAATGTTCAGTATGGCCACCACGTGGGAGTGTTTTGCAATGTTCAGTTGGCTCGTTTTCAATGCCAAGCCAAGTAGGAATCATGGGGCCTGTCGCGAGGAACGAAGGAGTGAGAAGAGAAGGAAATACAGAAACCATGTGGCCCAACGCCAACCTTAGCAGGAATCATGCGGGCGATCACGTGGAACGAGCGAGAGGGAAGCAGAAGGGAACACAGTGACCGTGTGCCCCAATGTCTTCGTCATCCGTTCCCTCCGTCCCCGCCACTTGTGACACGTGGCACGACATGATGATAATGAAGATGTTGATGATGATGATGATGATGATGTTGATTACGATGCAGATGATGATGATGATGATGATGATGAGGAGGACGGTGGCGATGTTGATGACTACGACGATGTCGATGATGATGATGATGATGTAGATGACGATGATGATGTTGATGATGTTGTTGATGATGTTGTTGATGATGATGAGGATGATGATGATGATGATGATGATGATGATGATGGTGTTGATGATGATGACAACGATGATGATGATGACGATGACGATGAGGATGAGGATGATGACGATGATGATGATGATGATGATGATGATGATGATGATGATGATGATGATGATGATGATGATGATGGTAAGCAAGAGTCATGGGGCCGCTCGCGAGGAACGAACAAGTGGGAAGCAAAAGGGCATACAGAAACCATGTGCCCCAATGTCATCGACATCCATTCCCGCTGTCCCCGCAACTTGCAACACGTGGCGTGACACGGCTGCCCCCATGCGCCGACAAGCATGTGCGACGGCTGACACGCGGGCAGGCAGAAAACCACTTTACCTTAACGAGGGCACAGCGCACACGATGGCGCAGCTCTTTGACGGGGCACAATTCTTAGACGAGGGGCAGTTCTTCGACGATGGCGAAGCACACACGATGGCGCGACTATTCGACAAGGGCTGAGCACAGACCACGACGGCCACTTGCTAACACAGAACGCAAAGTCGGAATGTCAAAGCGCTGACAGCTGGACCCCATTAGCGGGCAGAAGGACGGGAAAGAGTTGGCGACGAGAGGGAACCCTTACACCCACGCCCACAGACACGTGGTGCAACAGCGGAGCAGCGAAGGCGACGGAGGAGGTCGCCGAAGGGACGTGGCGCGCAAATGCGCTCGTCAGGCTGGAGATGCGAATGGGCTGCACCGAACCCCAGGCAGCGGAGCCCCGAACTGTCATCGCACCCCATGAAAAGACCCGCCTGTGTCGCCCTGCGTGGCCTCAGACCCCGCTCGCCAGGCAGGAGACGAGAATGGTCGTGAACCCCTCGAACCTCCCCTTCCCCCCCCCCCCCCCCCCCCCCCCCCCACCAAAGGACTGAAAAATATAAGCTGCCCCCCCGCGCTGCCTGGGACCCCCTCGAGCGGGGCCCGCGAACCCGATGACACGAACGCGAGAGGACAGGAACACGGGCGCTTTTTTTAATGACGCCCGGGAAGGGCTAGCCCGCAGGCACTTGTTTGTCATGTCACGCTCACCGTCGGGGAAATTTCGACGCGCAGCCACCGTTCGATGCGGGGATCGAACAGTCGTGCGGTGGTGTACGGACCCTGCGCGAAATTCCAAAACGGAAGGCCTGAGGGGGCCTCGAGTCCCGCGTGCCTACAAGTGCGAGCGGCGCCCTGGGCATTAACGATGCTTTCTGCGTTTTTGCTGGGGAGATGCTGCCCGACGGAAGCCTCGCACCGCCACTGCCGTCAACAACACCACCCCGCACAACTGGAGCGCCATAGCTGGCAAAGCGAAGGGACAGCCATTCCTCACCGCGCTCGTTTCCTGGCACTGGCGCACCCCGCAGGCCCTCGCGTCTCCCTTCACCTTTGAAGTCGCTGTCCACGTCATGTTCGACGTCGCGTGTCGACACTTCCGGCGCCCATCACTCCACGCAGTGCCATCGCAAACACAAAGCACTCCACGCAGTACACTCACGAACAAAAAGCACAAGCCATAAGGTCGACAGAGTGCTGACTGGATTGACGACGGGGTTTGGGCGCATCTCCACTTGACAGTATCACACGGTGAGTGCGCCCGCAGCAGGGTGTTTGTGTGCGCGTGCGGTTGGGTTTTCTGATGATATGCTCGCGCAGATTGAAAGAGTTCGTGTTTGCGTGTGTGCGGGTGGGTGTGTGTGTGTGTGTGTTTGTGTGCGAGTGTGTGTTTGTGCGTGCTCGTGTGTGTCTGTGTGATTGTTTGTGTGTGTGTGTATTCAAGTGCGTGTTTTATTGTGTGTGTGGTTGTATGACGTGTCTACCACACGCGCGAGGCAGGATCGTGCACGTGTCTGTACCTAAGGGGTGTGTGTAAGTGTGGGCGCCGTGTGTGGGCGCGCGCGTGTGTGTGTGTGTGCGTGTGCCTCTCTGTACGTATTTGTGCGTGTGTGTGTGGTTGCGCACATTGAACGCGCGGAGATGCGCACGAAGGTGTGCGGTCAGGGATGATTGACATGTTTTGCACTTCTACTCTACTTCTGCTGCAATCGGGGATGAGAGGTGCAAAATATCCAACGATTGTGCAGGTTTTAATGCAGAACTGTAATCCGGTGTGCTCCTGCTGTACTCAACTGACGAATCACGAAAGGTTGTATCGAACACGCGGTGGCCAATCACGAAATACAATCACATCTTGAGCACTGACCACACTCGATATGATCCTTTGTGCTGTCCCAATGTCATATCCGCCGATCTGCCCAATGGATGATCAATTAAAACACGCGGTGGAAATGTCGACACAGCGAACGCATCCGTCGACCAATTGCGAAACACGATCAGATCACTCGTGATCAGTCGATTCATCTTGTCTGCCGTGCCGACGTTATCACCGCGTGTTTTTTTTTTTTTTTTTTGTGCGTGAGAGTGTGTGAGCTTCTACTGTATTCAACTAACCAACAAAGAAAGCTCCGGTCGAACACGTGGTGACAATGTCTAGAACATACACGCGATGAACCGACCCATCACGAAACATAAGCCGACGCCTCGCGATCGGGTGATTGATGTTGTTTGCTGTCCGAATAATATCGCCCCTGATCCGCCTAATGGATGATTAATCAGTGCACGAGGAGACAACATCGGGATCGCAAACGCATCCAACCGACCAATCGCAAAACGCTAACAGATTACTCGCAATTGGTCGATTGATCGTGTGTGTCGTCCCGACGTTGTCACCGCGTGTGTGTTTCGCTTGTCTCAATGGCAACATCAAAACACACGCAGCGATGTTCGTGTTTGTGTGTGTGTGCGTGTGCGTGCGAGTGCTGTTTGAGCACCGTAACCTGCTATGTGTTCCGGCAGGCGATGTGCGTGTGCGTGCGTCTGTGCGCCTGCATGTGCGCGTGCGCGATCAACCCCTCGGCGAGCGAACAGTCAATTGGTCAGGAGATCCGCCAGGATCAACTGTTTGATCGGGTGCTCTGTTGGCGGTTGCTCGACTGGTTGATCAACGAGTACACCAACCGCCAACCGAGCACCCGATCAAACAGTTGATCCTGGCAGTTCTCCTGACCAATCGAGTGTTCTGTCGAAGACTATCAACAAGTTTCGATAGACTGGTCGCTCGCCGACCAGATCATTAATCTCCAGACGTTGGAAGCAGCGGCGTCGAGCGACCGATCTGCGACAAATCCATTGTTCGCAGAGAATCCACAAGGCAATTCATCATGTGCCCGCGAACGGATCACAGAAGGCAATTCATCATGTGCCCGCAAACGGATCATACAATGTTGTTGCACATTGAACCTTGTATAACATTGAACCATGTTGGCCATGGAACCCGGCTTCACATCAAACCTCGGCGGGCGTCGAACCTCGTCGGACGTCGAACTTTGGCGAACTGATCGTGCAATCAAACACTGGAAGAAGTTCGCATTCCGGCGAGCTTGTGCACCTACTCGAACACGTTTCGCAACCCCGCCCCACAACCACAGTCGAGGATGTGTAGAAATTCAAAGTCCGTCGGGATCCGAACTTCAAGAAATTGTTGGACGGCGAGTTTGGTAGACAGGTGTGTCTCTCCCACGCAATTTCGCCAAGGTCGGATCTCGGCGAACTTCAGGTTCCCGGCTTTCGGAAGACATGTTTGCGGCCCGCCTGCTGGGCTGTGGATCCGAACCTCGCTTGCAAGGTTCCTTGTACAATTGTCAAGTCCGGACCTCGGTGAACTTCGGATTGGTGAAAATGCGAAGTCCGTTGGGATCCGGACTTCTCCTGCACGGTTCCTCGCACATACGTCAAGTTCGGACCCCGGTGAACTTCGCTTTTCACATTGTGTGGGTTTAGAATGCGGACTTGTTGGCGCCTGGGGATTGCCACAACTTCGGATTCGTAAACACGTGAAGTCCGCCGGGATCCGAACTTCTCGCGAATAGCTCCTCGTTCAATCGCCGAGTTTGCTGAGTTCTGACTGCCCGCAACCACAGCCCGTACTTCTCGTGCACGGTTCCTCGTCCCATCGTCGAGTTCGCCGACTGTGTCTCTCCCGCGCGATTTCGCCAAGTTCGGATCCCGGCGAACTTGAGATTTCCTCCTTTCGCAATTCATGTTTGCGGCCTGCCTGCTGGGCCGTGGATCCAAATCTGTCGTGCACGGTTCCTCCAACAGTCGTCAATTTCGAATCCCGGCGAACTTCAGATTTGATAAATGCGAAGTCCGCTGGGATCTGAACTTCTCGTGCACGGTTCCTCGTGCGGTCGTCAAGTTCGGGCCCAGGCGTACTTCAATTTTCGCGTGGTGTTGGTTCTGACTATGGAGTTTCTAGCGCCCGATGCATTGCCACAACTTCAGAGTCGTAAAATGTGAAGTCCGCCGGGATCCGAACTTTAAGAAAGTTTGGGACGACGAGTTTGAGAGACACCTTTGTCTCTCCCGCGCATTCTTGCCAAGTTCGGATCACGGCGAACATGAGGTTCCCACCTCTCGTGGGACATGTTTGCGGCTGGCCTACTGGCCGGCAGATGTGAACACCAACCACGTCGACCACCCGAAATCAGATCTTCGAGCGTGCGCTCCGTCTAATGCCATAGGTCGCAGATCGCGAAACACGACGTGTTTACGAGTATCTCTGTGTCCGTGTGTGTCGTTTGGCATATGCGCATGGTGTGTAGGGTGCGTAATAGAGGCGACCTTGCGGTGTTTTAACGGTGTAACTACAATCCACGGAGCGACTGCAGAGGACTTCGACGAGGATCCCTGGATGATCGTCGTCTCGTGCATGGACGGGCATATTGACGGTTGGTGCGATGGGAATTGGGCCATGATGGAGAGTCGCTGCCCTTGGGCAAGCCAGTACAAGTTCGCCATTATGTTGGAGTTCGGGAACCTCATCCCGCTGTCTGACGCTGTCCTCGGACACAAGTTCCTGAACCGTATGCGCACAGCACTGGGCTGCATTAGCCACCATTTCAGCCGCCTCGAGTGCCACTACGTCAGGTCGTCGCCACGAACTTGGGGAGGCCTGCGGAAACAAGAGTTGGTGGACTGCGCTCGCCACTGCTCGTTCCTGGAGCAGTACCCGCTCCAGTGCCCCAGGAATTCTCCACAAGCTTTGTCGTACTGTTGTGTGCGATTGCTTGTGTCCGGGTCTGATTTCGCCAGAGTTTTATGTGTCGCTGCTTCGAACAAGAGCAGGAAACTCGTCGATGCAGTTGTGCTTGTATCACGCAAGGAGGTGGTGATTGAGGGGTCCAAATTCGTGCCGACGCGCGGGCCTGAACGTGTAGATGGGTGGCGCGATTTGGTGATAGTAGGGCGGGTCCAAAACTTTTCGTTGCATCGTGAGGTCGAGGAGAAAGTGTCCGATATACGAGACTGTATAGGAAATTCCTTAGCACGACCGGGAGTGTTTGTTAGGATGAAATACATGTCCGTCTTTTCGGAGAGGGCATCGGTAGACGAACTGCAGATCCACGTATACAGATCATCAATGAATGCTTTGTATGGCTTCGGTTCACGACATCGTCCCAGGGGAACCCCGAATATCGGCACATCTCAACTGGTAGTTAGTCCTGGTGTTTAAGGGAAAAGAAGGGAGAGGCATGAGATGCTGTTTTGCTGCCTATAATATTAGATTTGTAGTAGTGGAGGGAGGTGTGAGAGGCAACAGTTGCTAGTAGACGCTACACCGCGCACTTGTCGTGCAAATCCCTGATCGTCGTTCAGTTCAACAACCAACGAAAATCATGTTGGAGGTCTATCTCTGACGCCGTCTCCTTCCATGTCACGCCCGGCGAAGTTCGGATTCCGACGAACTTCGCGTTTTGGGCTGTCCGTTGATTTGTCTTTGGTACTGTTGGCGTCGGGCGGACCTCAAGAACCACCGGGCACCACGAGCACGGTCTTGCTTCAGGCCACAGGCCCGTCCGACCGGCCTTTGAGCTTCGAGTGCTGGCTGAAGACCAAAACCCAGCCAGGCGCGGCCTTCGAAAAGGTTATGCGACCAATTCCACCTGGGCACGTTCACGATCTGAGACCGCCGACAACCGAACTTCACAAACACTATCCGTATTCGGTTGTCGCCCGACCACCATCGACATGTGCCAAACAGTCGATCATTGTCGTTGCGAAATGCCGAAAGCACTCTTAGGGATCCCAGTTGCAGAGTTTGGCGCTGGCCGAACAATTCTGGGGCGCGATGAGAGCAGTGGCGCGCGAGTTTCACGTTTCCTGAAACCCGTTAGAAATCCCGGTTGACGGACCCTCTTGTTGCATCTGGATCTGTTTTGAGCATAGACGGACTCAATGACTACTGCCATCAAAACCTGCGGTCAGCTGTGAGACCCCGGGTTCTCCCTCCAACACCTTGCTCGGACCCCAACTTGCGTCTAACCTCATACGTGATCCAGTATTTCTCTCTGTGTATCTTTCTCGCAGCGTCCCGAAGTTCGGATCCTGACGAACTTCCTATGATGCCTGTCTATTGAACAGACACTGGTCTTCCTGATCCGCCGTCGATTGCGACAACAACTCCAGTCCGCCCTGCTCCACACGTTTCGTTCTGCCCCACCAGGGACCCATACAATGTTGTCACTCGCTGCTGCGCATATCAGAAGAAGTTCGGATATTGGCGAACTTAACCTTCTTAACCGGCCTTTCATGTAAGTGTGCCATTCCCTGGTCGTGGTCGAGTCCACGGATCATGTGTCTCTGACGCCGTCTCTGCCTGTCGCATCGTCCTGAAGTTCGGATCCCAGCAAACTTCACGTTTCGGGAGGTGTGTTGGTTTGTCGTCGGACATGCCCATCTGGTGGTTCGCACAACCCGCCCGGCGACAGGGAGAGTCCGTCTCCGATTTCTGGTTTTGATCAAATGCAATTGCAGAGTGTGTTCGCTCGAACACGGTTCTGGAACGCCGGCTACATGGGCTGGCTGTTTCTCTCTTTCTTTCGCACCATCTTTTAGTCGGGACCCCGACGAACTTCGCGTGCTAGCCTGTCCGGGTTCCGAGTGCTAAGCGGAGGACACTGCCCCGTCCAACGCGAGCTTCGAACATGACCTCCCGTTCATTCCCCATGTGGTTGGCATCTGTGTTTCGGAAATACCGATGTGGTTGTCGCCCGGCCGCATGACGTGTGTCCCCTTTTAAAGATTGATCTCGTTGCAGGTAAGAGGTCATTAAAGGTCTTCGCGTCCAAAGTTCGTCGGGATCCGAACTTCGAGGTCCTGGAACGGCGTCATGTGACCGACGTGTTGGGCGCAATGTTTACCGCCTGTGTTTTTTTTTTTTTTTGCCTGCATTGTGTTTTGACTGCGACTTGACGCTCTCTAGTGATTCATTTGTTTTCCGTCGTCGTCCGCAGACAAGATGCCTTCGTCGAGGGGCGAGGGGAAGCCTGCAATGACCTCCGGGATGGGATCAGGGAAAGATTCCACAAAACGTTCGTCTACGACCTCGAGGTCGTGGTCGGACCACGCAAGGTCGAAATGGTTCGTCGACTGGTGTTGTGGTGATGCTTCGAACCCTGTTCAACAGCCGTGTGGTCCTGTGATCTTCATCGAAGCCAACAAGTGCCGCAGGGTTCTGGGGGCTGTCTTGCGGTGGGAGAATGCAAAAGGCAATCGTCGACGGTTCTACATGAAAAATGTGTACGGTTCGAAGGGGAACGTCGTCGCTGGTGCCAAGGGGGCGATTCTCGACATGTGTCTGTTCGAGGGGTTCGGAGCGGGTGCTGCGAACACCCCGTTCTACAACGACCTCTGCGGCAGGGCGGGTTTGTTTTGGGTCGAGAGTTCTTCGACTTGTTGGAGGACAAGGACATCGCCCTCAACGTCCCTTGCGAAGTTGGCCCCGACCTGGAACTGTCAATGCCTTTGCAGCTGTGCGGCGGTTGTGAGTCGAGCGGGGCAGCGGGGGAGGGGGGGGATCTGGGTTCCGGCGAGGCTACACATGTGCAGCAGGAGGATGCCAGAGGTCAGTTTGACGACAACAAAGATGAGGCGACACCGCGTCCGCCGTTTTCACCGTCGAGGGAAAGAGACCGGTCCGTGCTGTCCATACCTGGGGTCCTGCTACAGACCCCGGTTCGACAAGAGGTCGCTGCGGATCCCGGAGAAGAGGCAGTCCAGTGTGGGTCCGACTTGGAGCCCGCCGAGGGCCATGGCGCGGACGACAAGGCTGTGGGCGGTGAGGTAGCGCAGGGCACTCCCCAAAAAAGGAGGGGAGATTGTCAGGAGGACTTGGTAGGCTCTTCGAAGAAATAGAAGACCAGGACCCCGAAGACTACGGGAGAGAAACGGAAGGGAAAGGGGGTGGAAGAGGACCATCTGGGTAGCAAGCGTCCGGCTTCAAAACAGAAACAGCCTGCGTCAGGACCTTCCACGACAAGGCCTGCCATCGACGTGGATGCCGGGTACTTCCTGGAGCACAAGGACGTCGTCATGACAAGGCGGGAGTTTAAGATGACCCCGACTCAGATCATCGACCTCGGGGAGTGGGAGAATCTTTATAACCAGCGGTTGCTGGATCCCGTCCTCGTAGGAACAATAAAAGAAGCAATGCGGTATGCGTTCGAAAATAAAGAAAGACGTACGAGTTGCCGATCTTCAAGCTCGCACCACTGTGGCTTCAAAAACCAACTCCCGGGACCAAGGCACAACGTCCGAAGCCGGAGGAGTGGGAGGACGATCTGGCGGGAGAATACTACTACTACGCTGTGTGCGGGCAGCATAACGCGGCTGCAGCCCGGTCGCTGTTGGGCAGCAAGGTGGCCAAGAAGTACAATTTCGAGTGGTGGTCGACGAGAATGCTTTACTTTTCGGACGACGACTTCGAAGGGTATTTTCTTGTTACTTCACAGGACAACAAGAACGACCTAAAGGCGCCTCCCAGACAGTTGAAACTGTCTATGAAAGACATTCGGTGGCAGTGGAAGCATGACGGCTGCCCGAGAGCTGTGATGGGGAACCCTAGCGGGAAACAAGATCAGGTCCGGGATTGGCGTAAGTTTTGTACAACGGCGCTCCACAAGGCGCCTCACAACAACTTGTGGCTTCTCGCGGATCAAAAGGAAGAGGAGGCCATTAAGAAGCAAAATGTTGCCCTGCGTTCTTATTTCCCTCTCGCGATGGCCGGGGAAAATGTCTGGAAATTGGCCGTGGAATTTTTCGAAAAATGGGAGACGGGTAGATTGTTGAGCCACGACGGAGTGAAGAGTATTGTCAAAAAGAAGAATGTCAAAAATGTCAAGCCTGGAGAGTAGGTTAACCGAGCACCCATTTTTCAGGCCCATTTATAAGAAAACCAGACAGTCATTTTAACAACACTTCACACCAATCTATAGAGTGCACTTCTTACGACCCCATCACAGAAAAAAACCCTAAAAAAAACAATTAAAAACATATAAAAGAGCAAGCCAAAGGTGCAAGCCTGGAGAGCAGGTTAGGGAGAGTTTGGGGTAGCCAACATCCACAACGACAAATTGGGCAGAACTAAGGTGGTGTACAACGTCCCTGTGGACCCACCGAATAAGAAAGGCAAAAAGGAGAAAGAGGACGGCGATTGGTTCGTGCAAGTGCCCGGCCCGGACGCGCATTGTTGGAAAGCAATGGAATCACTCACGGACAGTGGTGAAGTGAGAAGTATCGCGTTCTGAAGAAGGTGCTTGCTTGCGAGGTCGTTTGGGTCCAGGCCGACTCCCCGTCGTTGGCGAAGTTGGGGAAGGTCAGCGTGCAAGACATTGTGCAGCTGGTGAAGTGCGACCGCGTGCTGGTCCGATTGTGGAATTACTACCAATTCAAACACGAGAAGAGGCCGGACGCGGATTGGATCCAAAGGTACCCTTTCCTGAAATTGAGGTCTGCAGTGTTCAGGAAGTTCGAAAGTCAGGGATTGGATGACGACTTGTCGGATAACAGCAGGAAACACGTTTCCGACTCGGTGCTGTTCAAGGACTGCCCGCCGTACATGGGATGCGACCAGGACAACTCGATTGAGGTGACGGGGAAGTTGGCGGGCCACAAGAAGTTGTCCGTCGACTGGAGAAACAAGGTTCTCTCCATGTTGAATGGGAGCAGACTGAAGAGCCGGGAGGTCGCCCTTGCCGAAGGCATTGTTCACATTAAATGGAAAGACACGGGGGACATAACATCCATCGCGCCGTTCGCTAACGACCCTTTGGAGGAGGACATCAGGGGCGCAGAGCTGAAGGAAGCAGTGGCTGCCACAAAGAGCCACACGTTCGTCCTCGATCTGTGCGAGCCGGTTGACCTCAAACTGTGGAAGGCCCAAGCGTGGGAGACTTTGAATCATTCCTATCTTCACACGTGGTGTCCGTCGCATTGGACTCTCGTTGTTTTCGTGCCGCGGCAGCACAACCTCACGTTTCTCGCCAGCATAAACCATCTTTCTTTCGTCAAGCTGTTGGAAGGGAAGTGGGTGAGGAGAGTTCAGCAAAAGAAAAGCTTCCCCGTCGGGAACAATTTGTACACGGAGGAAGACCACATGTACATCCTCTTCAAGGGTGACGATCTGCCGTGGTCTACGAGGGAAACCTTCCTAGGGGTGCCACTGCTGCAGTGTGATTGCCTCAGAGGATCACCCAGACGGATGTGTCCGAGATTCCCTTCGTGCCTTGCGATTGGTCGCTGGTGGCGCCGGAACGACAGAGCAGTGTCTACGGGGATATGGAACGCAATCCGATACAATTCGTCGGTCTTCTTGATTTCCTTGGCAAGAAGGGAGAGGGTATCGTGTTCCTTGGGAAACCGCACGTGCGAAGCGTCTGGGATCTTCTGAAGGCCGGCCGACACGTTGTCGCGATGGAAGGGAACGTCGAGCTCTTGCAATTCACGATGCAGGTGGTGAAAAGCGAGGTCAATTCAGGCAGGCACAATTGTGAGTTCATGGTCGTGAAGCCAACACGGGATAAGGTGTGGAGCAACAAGACGGATATGTGGTTCAAGTTGAGCGAGAGGAAGAGGAACAAGATATACGATTTCTTGTTCCTTCAAGCGAGGCCGAGGAAGGACACTGACGCCGAGTACGTCCGCCGGAAGGAGCACATGTTGGCATTGCTCGACAACTACCACTTCGCCTCCCGCGTGAACGCGAAGACGTTTCTCGATAGGCTGCAGTCGCTGTACTTCGTGGAGTCCGAGGAGCAGTTAAAGTTAGCCAGTTACGCTTTCCTGATCTCCACTGATGACGAGGAAGCCACAGGTGTGGAGTTTGTCGCCAACGCGAAGGAGGAGGAGAGCGACACAGAGAGCATTGACCTGCAGTACGACCCACCTCCGGCGGACCACGGCCGAGGGTCCTCGTCGGCCGGTCCGTCACCGAGCGCTGCAGCCCTCGTGTCACCGTCGGCCAAACTGCCGCCGGGCACCATGCCGATGAAGTTGCAAGAGAGACTCAGAGTTCTGTCCGTCCCCCCACCCGCTTTGCGTCCCGGTGTCAGGCGGCCACAAGCAATGGGCCGCCTGAAATCTGCGGCTTAGGGACTTAGGCTCAAAGACAAGTCCGTGTAATGACGGTACTCTGGTTTGGCCAGGCAGCAAAAATTAGGGGTACCCCGAGTATCCCTAAAATTAGATATGACGACCGTTGAGACTAGCTCTCGAAATTGACAAGAAGGACTACCTCTTCTACCGCAGCGGCGTCTATATTAATACCGCCGCCTTTAGCCTGTTTCCGGGACAGCCGCCTGCTGAACAGCAAGATGGAAATAGGCTTAGGCGTGGTCCTCTTACGCTGCACATTTGGCGTGGGAATGAGGCCTCAAAATTTCATTAAATTTAATATTGAAAATAAAATACGGAGAAAGGAATTAAAAACAAAACAAAAGAAGAGAAAAACGAGATTTTCTTCAATTTATTTATTTTCTTCGGGATTTAATTTTGATGGAATCGCCCTCATTATTTATTATTTTTGATAATAGAATTAAAATTAAGGAAAAAAATCAAAACTATTGAAAGAAAAAAAGAAAACATGGGAATTTTTTATATTTAATTGAATTCTATCGGAATTCGTTTTTGATGAAACTGCGTTATTTTCATTATTTTCAATAATAGAATTAAGAAATAAGAAAAATAATTAAAATAATAAAAGGAGAGGAAACCAACGATTATCTAATATCTGGCTAATTTTTATCTTAATTATTCACGATGAATTTTTACCCCGGATTATTTATTTTATCTAATCCTAACCCTAAGACTGAGATCGACTGCATGACCTACCCGATTTACCTGGTTAGTGAGCTCGCCGCAGTTTGAGTGTATCGAGAGAGTGGGGTCGCGTGGTCAGCGTGGGTTGGTGCTACCTGGGTCTGAATGTATGGCTTCAGTATCGATTTGGCATCGGTGCGGCATCGATGCGGTGCACGCCACATGTCCGGTAATGGTTCGACATCGGTATGGTGCACGCCACTGCATTGTTTTCAGGTTTGGTGATGGTACGGTTCGAACGGCTACGGTTCAGATTGGTAATTCCCTGGTTCGGCATTGGTACGGTGACGGCACAGGCCTTTATTGTTTGTGGCAGCTACTTCAGGTGCAATTAGCAGGATGGATCCTACCTCTCCAGGCCTTTGAGGCTCGATACGTCGATCTAGGTACAGTCGCGGAGCAGGTACAGTTCGAGACCGGGTTGGTACAGTTATTTCATGGTGCGGTGCTTCGATACACCTTTGGACCGTCGGTGCTCACTAATTTTGGCATTGGCACGACGCCGAGCCGGCTTGTTATGGCTAGAGCTACGACGATGGACTTGCAGCAACTATTGAGCCTTCAGATAAGACTAACTAGTACTAGTCCTACTGCGATATGACTCCTGGTCTGAAGGCCGTTGCTACCACCACAGTCGGAGTACAGGGTCCACTGCCCCGAGCCTGTTCACTACCTGGTCGGGGCCTGAAGACTCACGTACCGTTCGAGGGAATAGATCCAGTTGTGCTGAGCCTACGAGTCGGACTCTACGCGAATATAGCAGGGTGCAACGAGTATCAGGACACAGGGAGACGGGGGGGGGGTTTCCGAAGCATGCACGGTGTACATAGCCCACCGCTGCCAACGCTGGTTGAAGTCAACAGACACGGACAGTGAACGGCGGCGAGTGCAGCGAACGTACCAGTCCGCGAGGCACTGTGGTTCAGCGCTGTTACGGTCAACGGTAGCTATGGCGGCCGCTTGTGTGTGTGTGTGAGAGAGAGAGACAGCGAGAGAGAGGGACTGCGCGGTGAGATAGAGAGACCACGCAGTGAGAAAGAGAGAGAGTGCGCAGGGTGTGAGAGAGAGAGTGCACTGTGGGAGAGAGAGATTGACAGAGTGAGAGAGAAGAGCCGGAGTGTATGGGCAAATGCGAGTGAGAGAGAGGGTGAGAGAGTATGAGGGTACGTGTGGGAGAGCGAGTGGATCAGAGAATGAGTGAGGGAAAAGCACGTGAGTACTCTACGATCTTATTCTCCATGTACTGAACTCTCTGGAGGCCACGTACATCCGAACTTGAATGGTCGCGTCTAGTACGCATGAATCAGGCAGCAAGGGAGTCAGTCACAGGTTTGACAGCATATGCTAATCAAGGCCAGGAATCGAACACGCTAAAGGTGTGCTCATACACTACTCAGAGCTCTTGTGACTCACGGTAACTACAGCCAACGAGGGAGCCAACCACAGGCTCAACAGCGTACGCTAATCAAGAGCAGGCGTTGAACACACTGAAGGTGTGCTCATACCCTATTCAGTCAGCCAGTCTAATCAATCAGATATGCGAACCCAGCCGTTGGACAGGGCTATATTCCTGCGCGCTCCAACTCGTGCACGAGCAAGTGATACTCGCATGTTGAGATCAACCGGTGAAGAGGTACTAATCAGCATACCCCTGATCGTGCAGGGGAGAGTACGAATGGAGAGGTACTAATCAGCGGACTTTTATGATCCTGGTCGTTAGCGGGGCCATGTCCATCTGAAGGTGGATCGGTGTGAGCAGGTCCGATTAACTCTCCGCGAACGGGTCAGTGCAAAAGCAAATCGGGGATAAAAGTGGGAGATAAGTGAAGGAGATAAATAGAGTACCCGATCATATTATTATTATTATTATTATTATTATTATTATTATTATTATTATTATTTCTGTTTTTATTATTATTATCATCAGTAATCGAGACAGAGAGAGAGCAAAGAGAGTGAGAGAGAAGAGAGTTAACAAATGAGAGAGATAGTGTGAGAGAGAGAAAGAGAAGAGAGAGGGTAGTAGTGCAGTAAGTTGTGGGCCGGTGAGGGTGAGACGGAGAGTGAGTGGGGCAGCGTGTGCAAGAGCGCCAAACAGTCCGAGATTGAGAGACCAAGTTATAGTGCACATGCAGGAGAATAGTTGAAGGCATCCTCAGCCCACGGTGGTGTTGACGTCTACGGACTCGAGTTCCTTGCAATTACTGGCAGATGCACACTCGAGGTCACAATGGATAGAAGGCAAAGAATATGTAGATGAATCTTGGTGCGTTTCCGCTGGTGAATCATTCCTGTTTTTTTTATTATTATAATTTTTCTTTTATTATTATTATTATTATTATTATTATTATTTTTATCTGATGGACAGTTGACTGAACCTGCAGTTTGGAACTGTATCTACCCGTGCTCTCGTTGAAGGTTCACTCCGCTTTTCCTCATTGGATAAGTAGCCAAGCGACCCCCTGTCGACTGACAATGAAGAAACAGAGATGTATGTTACCCCGTTTAAGCTGAAGGTACATTCTCATTTCCCTCAAATTTGAGCCCTTGGCGTGCTGCAGAAACTCAATGATATGGTGAACTATCCTTCCATGTTCATGCTGAAGAATCATTCTCACCTAGTCATTTGGTGGCTGGTCCAGCGGGACCGCGGCGTCTGTGTGCCACAACAGAGAGAGAGAAAGCGAGGGCGACTGACCGCACAGGAGGGAGAGAGAGTGAGAGAGACTGCGCAGGGACAGAGAGAGAGAGAGTGCACAGTGAGAGAGAGAGAGTGCACAACGAGAGAGGGAGTGTGGAGTGAGAGAGAGAGTGTACTCAGTGAATGAGGGGGAGAGCGCTCAGTGAACGAGAGAGGGTGTACACAGCAGGAGAGAGAAAGAGCGAGAGAGAAGGAGACAGCACGGCGGGAGAGAGGGACTGCAGGCAGAGAGGGGGAGTGGGAGAGAGCAACTGCACAGCGGGAGAGAACGGTAAAAAATATTATTGACCAAACTATTCATTAAGTTTAATGGTCTGATAGGGAATGGATTGAGCTTCGTGCGGGCAGGGGTGACAAGCAATACTACTTTGGTGGGTGTTATCTCATCGTCTTGATCTCCTTGTTGCTCCCTCTATGTGCTGACCTGACAGACAGTAAACCAATCTTGCTGTGGAATGAACTCGGTGATCTGATTATCGGCTATTCGAATTGGCTGCTGGAAGAACATGTTGAACCAACTGTTGACTATTTAATTTTTCGGCAAAAAAAAAAGAGTTCGCTGACCCGATTGTTGACTAATCAACCTTGCTACAGAGAGAATTAACCGAGCTAATAGTTGACTATCGTATCTAGCTGCTGAACGAGCGTGCCGAACTGGCACGTGGGTCTCCGAACTTGCTGTTGAGAGAAAAAGGAAACATGTGCGTGACGACATACTAAAGCCCCGATCCCTGCTGGTCGCCGAGGACCTCGGAAGCGGGCGCGGCGAGTGACAGGCGCCGTTGCTCTTGGCTTCGGCGAACGGTAGGCGCCCCTCCCCGGATTTCCTCACACCGGGTCCGACATCCTGCCCGATCATCCATCTTGGAAGGATGACCACATCCACTTCCTGCTTGAGCCACAACGTCATTCGCCTGAGCTGGAATGGGGCCATGACATGGTGTGGCATCCGGGAGTCATCCAGCCAGCGATACGAAAGGGCGAGTGGGTTATGGCAGTCGCAATCCCGGGCGCGGGATGGGTGTCACTCCCGCGTGAGTCGAAGTCTAACTTCCTGTACCTGCTCGACTGTTCGACGAGCTTAAGGACAAGTGCTGGTTGGAATTGATGGAGGACTACTACGACCTCGACACGAGTCTGTCGAAAGGCGTGGTGGACTGGAAAGTGCCCCCTCCCAGTGGGCCGGACGGTAGTTCCGGGGGGGGGTCACCTGGAAGTGGAGGGGATGGGGGTGGTGGCCCGGGGGCTGGCAAAGGAATCCCGCCTAGTGGGGAGAGAGGGTCTCACGGCCGCAACACGGCACCGGGAGGCAGCGACGGGGTGGCGGGTTTCGCCGTCGACCGGCCTCCGTCGACAGGCAGGTGGCCGGAGCGTACAGCACAATCCGCCGACCTCCCGACTTCGTCCGTGGGCTCAGCGAGGGACACGTTGGCAGCCTTGCTTGCTCTGGGCAGTCGCTCCGGCAGAAAGTTGAAGTCTGTCAGGATCCGAACTACGTCCGGTGCGGAGCCGCCAGAGCGGTCCGGAATGCAAAGCCGCTCGGGGTCGGGGGAGCCAAGCAAGGATCCCAAAATTGGCAGCATTGTGGCACGGGACGGAAACGTCGAAAAGGTGTTGCCTGAGCGGGAGCGATGGCCGCAAGGATTGCAGTGAGAGGCTGCAAGTACA